AAAAATCAACCAAAAAAAATGAGTTCGTGTGTCACCTCTGACACGCGTGTCATAGGTTCGCCATCACTGAGCTAGTCTATGACTGTAACATCAAGGAGATGATATTCTTCTTTGTTTTAAAAAACCTTAGGTATTTCTTTTAAATTTCTGAATTTTCAAAGGCTTGCTATTATTTAAAGTATTAGTTCCTATTTTATTGACTTATTAAATTTAAAGGCTCTAAATTAATGTTTAATTAAATGATTCAAAAGGAATCATTGAAAGATGTGATCTGCACATTTTAAAAAATCTCACCTTCTATTTCTTTTCTCTTGGTTCTTAGAAAATAAAAAGTGGAACTATTTTTTACTTGTCCTTGCCTAATAGATGGGAGCTGCCTGGGTGACTCCAAACCCAGGAATGGAAACCTAGTTTCTTGTCAGGAGGATGGGGCGCTGCATGGTAGTTCGCATGTTTTAAACCTCTGGTTTAGGAGGTTTCTCTGAGTGTTTGATGTCTGCTTTCATTTCCCTTCCTGAGGATGCTGCCCTTTCCATGTAGAATCAAGAAACTGGACGCCGCTTGGCCGGCGTGGCTCTGCAGTTGAGCGTGGACCTATGAACCAGAAGGTCACAGTTTGATTCCCGGTCAGGGCACATGCCTGGGTTGCAGACTCGATGCCCAGTGTGAGGTGTGCAGGAGGCAGCTGATCAATGATTCTTTCTCATCATTGATGTTCCTCTCTCTCTCTCTCTCTCTCTCTCTCTCTCTCTCTCTCTCTCTCTCTCTCTGTCTCTCTCTCTCTCTTTCTCTGTCTCTCTCTGTCTCTCCCTTCCTCTCTGAAATCAATAAAAATATATTTTAAAAAATAAAGCCGGACACCCACCTGATTGTCCCTCCCCACTTGCACGTTCCTTCTTCCCCAAAGTTTCGCTGGATCGAGGCTGTGACCTGGTAAACGTAATGGGGAGTTTGGAAGGCAGGCAGAGGAAGGTTACAGTACAGCCTATCCAGCAAACAGTTGGATTTACTTATTAGCTATCGCTATCTGTCAAGCATCTTTGAATTGCAGTCACTGGGGAATTTTCACTCTTTCTCACCTCTGCTCTGTTCCAGCTTCCAGACACTGTGCTGGCCAGCTCATCTCCTCTGACCTCCCCCACCTCCTTCCTGACAATGTTACCCTCCTGCTCCAAGGCCCTGTTCGCTTCTTCCACAGAACAGAACGGGGCTCTTCCTCTAGCTCCGGTTCATAAAGACAGTGCTGGGCCGGGGTGATGGGACGTGAAGCACACGCTTTAAGGCGCACTCCTGTTCAGCACAATGTTCTCCCACAGAGGAAATCTGCAGCCACAGTTTTTGTGTCCTCTCCCTCCATTAGGTAGCAGTTTAGGCATTAAAGACTTATAATTTGACTGTGAGATAAAAGGGAGCAGTGGATAGTGATAATGTGGAAGACTTGTCAAAACTCAAACTCTGTAACAAGATCCAACCGTCTTCAGTTGTAGACAAACCGAGGCCTACGAGACCTGCTGTAGGTTATACAGCACTTTCAAGTGGAATTTGGATACAAGAGTCTGGTCCAGGGCTGTTTCCATGATCTCATGAAACAACAACTGAATTTCTCAGAAGCCAAACAGCATTTCAGCTCTGTATATTTAATTCTTGATTATGCTGCCAGCATAGGTCCCACAGGAAAGAATAGCAGGAGAGGCACACAGCCACCGCACACCTAAATAATATTATCTCAGGTACTCTGGTATGTTTATTATTCATTTTTTAGTTCTCATGTATAATTAGTTCTCTAATGTCTTGGCACGATGTTTATGTGTTATGGAGGGCAGTTTTCATGCTTTTACTAAAATCTTTTGCAGCCACCATCAGAGGTAAAATACCAAGCTGAAGCCTTCTTGTTCTGACAAGTGAATTAGTTAAATTTATTTTATTATGTTCCTAAAAATCAAAGGGGAGGGGGGAGAGGAAGAGAGAGAAAAAGAAAGATGCCGTAGAAGGCAAATGGAAAATGATCAAAGTCAGTCATTTGTTGAAATATGCCAAAAAAATGTACGCAATTTTCACTATCTACTGGTAGAAATATCTCCTAAAATAAATTAGGTTCCTAACACTTATGTCTTAAATTTGCTGTAACAGATACCTAAAGAAACTGTTTATAAATGTTAAGAAAATATGAGTATTAAACCTGAGAGCTGGATTTGACTGAAATTACTAACTGAAACAAGCTTACAAGACAAACAGAAAATGTATCCAGACAAGTTCTGTTCACAGGAAGGAAGAAAGCCTCCTCAGGAGAATTCAGACATTTAGCAACAAACTTGGCTGTAAACATTTGTCCAAACAGTCAACAGGACAAAGAAAATGCTCCTGGGAGAAAATAACCAGATCTTAGAGTCCTGGGCTTTGAAGTTGGAAATATTTCCCCAGAAATGCCACATTCTTCTTTCTCTCCCACCCCAGTGGATCACAAAAGTAAATTATCATTTGTTCCCTCATTTTGTTATCCTGCCCAAAATATCCACTCACTGATAAAGCCCACCAATGATTCATTACACACCCTCATCCCAAGGTTTCCAGTATAAATTCCATATTAAATGAGCCTCTTCTGTTTTATTAATGCTTAACAGTCATTTAATAGCAACGATAGTGCCAATGCATTTTACCGTATCTTACCATTCATTAAAACCCAGATGTTTCTGTATGAAGCAAAGGCCCCAGGGTCTTCTCCTCTAGTCTCATTTTCTTAGCAGTGGCTGAGCTGAGATTCATTTAGAAGCAGAAATAATGGGATGTGGACATTCTTTTCATATTTCTCCTTTTCTCTACAGATCAATTCCAATTTCTCTATCCCTCCACTCTTTAGTGATGAAGAAAGAAAATGAAGAAAAAGGAAGACACAGAAAGTGGAGAAAATTCTGGTGAATTGAAATTTAGATTGAGAACCTGCATTTATGTTTAACACGGAGTGAACAAACAAATGCATTAAAGTGATACACAGCTTAATTTCCTGGTATTTCATATATAACTACACACGTGTTCCTTTCCTGAAGCTCTACTCTTCCCCAGAGCCTTCAACTAAAGCATTAGTTCATTTACCAGTCAAGGAACGGAGCTGACTATAGCTGCTACAAGTCCTAGCACATGCAGCTCCAGCAACACCATTCACCTGTAATCCAGCTTCCTTTGCCTCTGGCCTGAGATCACCTTCCTTACTTTGTCGTCTTATTCACTACAGCTGGAATTTTATACTTGCCATAATGGGCTTCTTAAAAATCCTTCCAATGCGTTTTTGTGGCATCAGTTCTTGTCTCCAACATGCAGCTGATTACGGATGGATTTGTTTACATGGTCGCCTCCCTCTCAGAATGTAGGCTCCTCTGATTGAACTTTGTATGCCTACTACCTACATTAGGCCTAAAGCATAGTAGGGTTTAGTAGGCATCCAATAAATGCATATATATATATATATATATATATATATATATATATATATATATATTGATTTCAGAGAGGAAGGGAGAGGGAGAGATAGAAACATCCATGGTAAGAGAGAATCTTTGATCAACCAGCTGCCTCCTGCATACCCCCCCACTGGGGGATTGAGTCTACAACCCTGGTATGTGCCCTGACCTCCTGGTTCACAGGTGGACACTCAAGCACTGAGCCACACTGGTGGGGCTCCAATAAATACTTTTTAAATAAATTTGGTAGGAAGTTTTAATGTATGAGGGATTTGCAGGGAGTTGAAAAAGATGGCCTCCAAAGTCCTTTACAATTTTCAGATTTTGAGCATATCAGTCTCTTCCATGGTTTTGATTATTACATCTATTCATGAGTTTTCCCCCATAACTTCAAGGCATTCCTCATTCTAAGCTTTAGACCAAAATGTCCACCTGACTGCTACATAGCTTCACATTAGCAGACAGGACATCTCAAATTTAGTACGTCCAAAATTAACTCATTTCCCCACACAACCAGCTCCGCCTTTCCAGTGCTCTGTATTTATTAATGACACCATACTCCTTAGGAGCCCATGTGGAATACATCCGGGATGGCACTTCTTCCCTCTCTAAAACCAATCACTTCCTAGTCCGGTGGATTCAGCTTTCACAAAACACCTTTCTTTTTGTGACTCTATCCTGACAGTCTCCATCAAATTGTTTGTGACTCTAATTAGCACTTATTTTATTCTAACTTTCACGATGTATTTCCATCTCTGTCCCAACACCAGATCCTGGAATATGTCTGTGTAACAGGCTGCAACTCCGTAACACAGGTTTTGCAGGTGCTCAAGTCTAGAGGGGCTGAATAAATGTCAGCATGCTAGGTTTAAATTACTTTGGCGGCATGAATCTTGTTATAACCTTTTTTTTTGTTTCCCCCCTAATATAATATAGTAAAAGGCATTGGAAACAGGGTAGATTCATTTGTTATTGTCCTTGGGAGTGGCCGCAACAATTGGCAGTATTTTTTAAAAAACAAAACAAAACGCTGTTTTTTATAAAAGAAAGAAATGCAAAGAAAGAAAGAAAGATCCTTTAGGCGCAGCTCCCAGCTAAAAGCATCCAGAATCCAGGTTTCCCACCCCTTCCAGTGGCCTGATGTGCGGCGAGGGAGGAGCAAGGAGCAGGCACAGCCTGGGGAGCTGGGAGAGCGGGATGGGGGAAGTCCCGGAAGTCATTGACCGGAGCAGACGGCCGCCTCAGCGGGATCTGCTTGGGCTGAGGTCCCAACAATAACAAATCTCAGGGTCTGGCGGGGGCCGCCGGGGGCCGGAGCTTGGGGGGCGGAACCCAGATTGGGGGAGGCGGGTGGGACGCTTCCCAAGGCCTCAGGGGATTGGAGGAGAGAGATGCGAGGCCGTGGAGCTCGAGTAGTGGGTAGCGGAGCTCACTGGTCGATTGAGGGGAGAGCACGTTGATTGGGTGGCGCGGGGGAGACGGACCGGAGCTAACGGCGGATTGGCTGAGGGGGCCGAGGAGGCGTGGCCAGCGCGCGCTGGAGGGAGCGCGAGGGCTCTGTGGCCGGCCTGCCTTCAGCTACCCGGGGCGGCGGGAGAGCGCGGCAAGCGGGGCGCAGGGTTGAGGAACGCGGCGCGGGAGTGCGGGAGGTTCGCCGCCCGGCTCCGTCGCTGTCGTTCTCCGCGCCTCGAGCACTCGCTTCCTTCCCTCCCCTCCCCTGCATCCCGGCCTGGGGTCTCGGGCGGGGAACGGAGGGAAGGGACCTGAGAGGAAGCGAAAGCGGAGTGAGGGGCGGAGGGGGTCCCGGCGCGGAGCAAGGCGCGCGCCGCTGCTTGTTCTTTCTCCGGAGCCGCCGCCTCCTTGCCGGGTGGGTGCCGCGGCTCCGGGCGCGCGGGACTCCCGGGGCGCCCGCACTATGCAGGCGGACCGCCGGCCGCCGCGATGGCGAGCCGGACGGTGGTGAGAGCAGGGCGCAGCCCGTACCAACCCCAACCCCGAGTCCGGGCCGCGGCCGCCGCCCCCGCAGGGGCCGCGCTCCCCCACTCCCGTTCCTGCCCGCTCCCGCCCCGCGCCAGCGCCTCCTCCCCGCCTATGCCTCTGTTCCTTCTGCTCTTACTGGTCCTGCTCCTGCTGCTCGAGGACGCTGGAGCCCAGCAAGGTGAGTGGTTCCCGGGGAAGGCGCGGGGCGTGGAGCCCCCCGGGCGGCGGGGGCGCGGGGAGAGCCTGCGGGGCGCCAGGGCTGCGGGCCCTGAGCCGAGTCAGCCACACGCCGGGAAGGTGCGGGGTGCCTTCCGCGCGTGGGCAGACCGGGGCGGGCGCTCGCCAGGCTGAGTGGCAAAGCTAGGATCAGCTTGTTGTCCCCCAGCGTGGCGCGGCTGTACTTTTTTTTTTGGCGAGGCCATTCATTTTCCTGAAAAGAGTGGAGCGAGACCTTGCTATCAAGGCCGCCTTTTTGGTATTGGATTATTTTTCTAGGGAAAAATCTTTGGGGGAGGAAAAAAGATGTACTGGAGACGTGACGCCTAAAGTTAAGCTAAATGGATGAGTAGACAGTAGAAAGGCAAGGTAATTAAATAGCACCTTCAACCTATTAAAGGCAAGTGGCGGTAACTACTATCATTTGTGGAAGGTCTCAGGTTCAACAGCGAATGAAATTGATCCTGGTTATCTTTGAGTCTTGGGTTTAGGAAGTGTACTTGACAACCCCTGGTGATTAGTCTGGATGGTGGTCTCGATTCTAGACTCTAGATTGCCTGGGTCCAACGCTGGCTCTGACCCAATGCAGCCTCTTATGTTACCTCAATGGGACTTTCCACGTTAAAAGGGTAAGATGGTCCAGAAAGGGACAAAACTATTTTTCTGTCTACAGTCCTTGGGAAACCTATGGAAGAAGCAAGCAAGATTGTTTATTGTATAATCACTGTGATGGAAAGAGAATGCAGAGCTGATGCACCCTCCACCCTTTTTGTACTATTTTTCAGGTGGTGAACCGTAATTTTTGAATCCGTTTGGCATCATTATTGAACATATTTTCCATTGCATTTCCCAGTGAGCAGGATTGTTACTTATTTCTGGGAAGGTTATTTTTTTAATTGATCTCCATGTTTAAGTCCAGCTTACTGTTGCTCTCATAGGGTTTTCAGTAAAGTATGGAATCTTGGCTGTAAGCCTGTCATGAGGATGCTGAGACTTTGACAGGCACATGGGGATATAATATCTCTAACTGTAAGGAAAAAAACATATTTGGTAAACGGACCTCTTTTAGACTTAGGCAGTTCTATGCATTGTAGATGCTTAGCATTCAGGTTTTAGATAATCTTCAGTAAATTTTTGAACATTGGCCCTTAATAAGTTAGAGTGTGAAATCCTTCTTTTCATTGAAGTCCTAGAGCCTGTGCTGGTATTTTCCTCCTATTAGGGAAAAACGCACACAACAAAAAACAGGCTTATATATGGCTAACACTTATTGGGGCTTACTTTGTGGCAGGCACAGCACCAAGTGGTTTACATGTATTAACTCAATCCTCACCACAAACGTTTGAAATAGATATTGTTATCCCATTTCAAACATAGGAAATCCTCAGACCAAAAAAATGTAAGGTACCTTGGTATAGAAGGGAATATAACTACCTAAGCAGAATGCTCTGTTTTGCTTATTGCCAAATCAAAATGTTTATATCATGTTTTTTAAAAAAATATTTGAACAATGTAGAATGTTACACGTCTCCCCCCAAATGAGACAATTGCCTTGGTTTTTAGAATTTCACCAGCCTGATCTAATTAAACATGCAACATTACATTTTAAACAGTATTTTATTTCAGTTCTGACCATTATTTTAACTAATATGTGTTTGTCTTTCGCAGTGTTATCTTTTTTTAAAACATGTTTTTATTGATTTTAGAGAGGGGGAGAGAGAAAGAGAGAAAGAGAAACATCAATGATGAGAGTCATTGATTGGCTGTCTCCTGCATGCTCCCTACTGGGTATCGAACTTGCAACCCAGGAATGGGCCTGCAACCTGGAATGGAACTGTGATCACTTTGTTCATAGGTCTATGCTCAACTGCATACCAGCTGGGTATCACAGTATTATCCTATATAATAAAAGGCTGATATGCAAATTGTCCCCTCAGGAGTTCGACTGGGAGACTGGGAGTTCGATCGCTTGCTATGATGTGCACTGACTACCAGGGGGTGGTGTGGAACATGGTGGGTGACCAGCAGAGGCAGCAGGTTGCTGAGGGAGAGAGGGAAGGAGGAGGCGGGGAGGCTGGGAGGCGGGGAACTGCATGGTAACAGCATGGGCAGCGAGGGAAGGAGGAGGTGGGGAGGCTGGGAGGCGGGGAACTGCATGGTAACAGCATGGGCAGCAAGGGAAGGAGGAGGCAGGGAACCTAATTGGCCCTGATCGATAGCCAGGCCTAGGGACCCTACCCATGCACGAATTTCGTGCACCAGGCCTCTAGTCCTATATAATAAAACCCTAATATGCAAATTGACCAAATTATGGAACAACTGGTCACTATGATGCACAATGACCACAAAGGGGCAGACACTCAACGCAGGAGCTGCCCCCTGGTGGTCAGTGCACTCCCACAGAAGGAGTGCCGCTCAGCCAGAAGCTGGGCTCATGGCTGGCAAACAGTGGTGGTGGCGGGAACCTCTCCCGCCTCTGGTGCAGGCAGGTCGTAAGGAGCAAGGGGTCCTGGACTGCAAGAGGGATGTTTGACTGCCAGGTTAGGCACAGAGGGTGCAGGCTGGGCTGAGGGACCCCCTCTCGCCCCCAGTGCACAAATGTGCACCAGGCCTCTAGTCTTATATAGACACAAATGTAGATTAAACTCAAATAGAAATGATGTTGATAATTTAAAAAACCTAATTTCTAGTTCTTCAAAATTGGGTAAATATTAAGTCATATCTCATGGTCGATAGGAGAATACATACCTTTTTTTCCTTTTTTAATAATTTTATTTTTCAATTACAGTTGACATTCAATATTATTTCGTATTAGCTTCAGGTGTACAGCATAGTGATTAGACACTTTTGTCCTTTACAAAGTGATTTTTCTGCCTCCCATCCCTCCATATTTCCAGTACCCTACCTGCCACCATATATAGTTATTACAATATTTTTGACTCTGTCCCTATGCTGTACTTTACATCCCCGTGACTATTTTATAACTACCAATTTGTACTTCGTAATCCCTTCATAACTATTTCATAATTTAATGAAAATGAAATGATAGTACACAAGAGTTTTGCAAAGGGGAAAGTATAACTTAGCTGTAACTGATCATCGTCTAATCTTGAGCTTACTAAAATTATCTGATAAAATAAGGACCAATTAGGTATATATCACCTGAAAACTCAGGAATTGTGTGGGATTTCAACTCCCTGCTTTTTAAAAATTGTATTTTCATACCCAAAGGACCGTGATGCAGTCTGTGGTGGAATTGCTTTTAAACCAGTCTGCGTAGTCTAACAGATGTGCTTTAAGGGTCCACTGGTGTTCCTTGCATAACCTGAAAAGAAGGCAATTTCAGAATGAGAAGCAGTGCTTTAAAACACCTATGCAGTGGTTCTCAACCTTACTAATGCCGCGACCCTTTAATACAGTTCCTCATGTTGTGGTGACCCCAACCATAAAATTATTTTTGTTGCTACTTCATAACTGTAATTTTGCTACTGTTATGAATCATAATGTAATTATCTGATATGCTATATGTGGTTTCCGATGGCCGCGACCCACAGGTTGAGAACCGCTGACCTATAGAATTTTTAACAGTGGAAGTGTCTACATAGTATTAGGAAAAATACTGGAAGGAAATAAAATAGTAACAGTTGTCTTTTGCTAATACAGTTGTGGGTAATTTCTTCTTTATGCTTCTTCAAATTGAAGTTTGCATATAGTCAGAATTAAAAATATGCTATGTAAAATGTTTTTGATAGTTTTTTTTCAAACAGCATAAGTAGAATGCATGTTATATGCAGAGTGGGGCAAAAGTAGGTTTACAGTTGTTTGTATGGAAAATAATGCAATAATTAGTAAATTATAATACAAGAATAAAGTCTGTTTGGCATACTCACAATTGTAAGCCTACTTTTGCCTTAGCCTATAGATGTGGAGGTAGAATGTTGTTCAGGGTTTTTTTTTGGTTTGTTTTATCTTTCAGACATCATTTTAAAATAGAGACCACCTTCATTTCAATTAATTCCATACATAGCTATTCCTCAGGTTTTCTGCTGACAGAGTGATTTTTCTTTTTATTTGGCTCAGTAAAACTTACTATTGGTCTGAAAACTTATCAGCCTTTCAAAACAGCAGAGATGTTTTTTGACCAATCTCATATCATTAACCTATTTACTCACATCTGTTTTACTATCGTGGTGTTTTAGATATGGGTTATAGTTGTCTGTTTTTATTTGTAAATTTCATATTACGTTCCTCTTCAAACTTTTTTTTTTTTTTATTGAAACCGTTTTTTCCCCCCTGTAAAATGTACATCTTTGTAAAACACTTAAATTGGTGAAACTTACGCTGGTTGCATATTGGCTACTGTAATACATTTACATAATAGAAAAGCGAGGGTCGCCCATGAATGATTTATGACTCTGGTTTACATTATGATTGTAGGAATTTGTGTCATCTCATCTCAGGAGCTCAGCTTCCTCATTTGTATCATGGAAGGCTTGCCTATCTTTGGGGTTAGAATATTATTTGAATGTGGAGTGAATTTTAAAATCCATTAAGAACTGACTTGTTTACTAATATTAATGTGAAATATTTGTGAAGATACAAATTTTTGCTTGCTAATTTAATAAACCTCTAAGACAAATCAGATTCTTTTATAAAAAGATTTCAGTTCCACAATGGTATTTGGAACTAATGTGTGTGGGGGAATTATATAGTGTCAAGTAATGCTTTTATTTCCTTTCATTTCAGGGAAATATATATATTTTTTAATATATTTTATTGATTTTTTACAGAGAGGAAGGGAAAGAGATAGAGAGTTAGAAACATCGATGAGAGAGAAACATTGATCAGCTGCCTCCTGCACATCTCCTACTGGGGATATGCCCGCAACCCAGGTACATGCCCCTGACCGGAATCGAACCTGGGACCTTTTAGTCCGCAGGCCGACGCTCTATCCACTGAGCC